ACTATGTTTGCCATCAAACGGTGTCGTCTGCTTATCTTATACTGCTAAGATTTTGCCCGCCTATAATTAATCACTTCTGGTGTCTTATCAAGTTATGATGTTGTATGTAGAATATATCTTACTTATTATAAAACGCAGATTGTGTGTGTGTGTGTGTGTGTGTGTGTGTGTGTGTGTGTGTGTGTGTCTGTACGTTTATATATTGGATCGGATTTCCTACATTTTTCAACCGATGTCAACAAAACTTCACAGGACTGCGTAAAATTACCTTGCGGTGGTTCTGACAGTGTCAAAAATTGGAAAAACACAATTGTTTCTGCACGAAATCAATTTGAAAACACGACAAAACACAATTCTGTCGGCAGAATGAAAGGGGGACAACTCATATCGAGTTATACTTATTATAAAACCCAGGTTGTTTGTGTGTGTGTGTGTGTGTGTGTGTGTGTGTGTGTGTGTGTGTTCATTTATATATGGGATCGGATTTCCTACATTTTTCAACCGATTTCAACAAAACTTCACTTTTTTTTGGCAGGTAGTGTTTCTTATTGTCTTGCACACTTTTTTCTTTATTTTCACATTCAGAATGCTTTAAAAATTCCATTTACAAGACAATTGTTTATAATAAAATTCTATTCAATCAGTAGACTCATAACAATTGAAAACAATGTTTTTGTTTGAGTTTGGGTTTGACCAATTCGTAAAGAAAAAACAAAAACAAAACAAAAAAACTAATTAAGACATGCGCGTCCATCAACCTTAAACAACAATCTTTGTCAATTTTATTTTTCAGTCTTTATGATGGTCGATACTTGATGTTTCTCTTACTGTTACATCCCCGGGCAACGCCGGGCTCTACTGCTAGTATTTTATATATAATGCTCAATATTAAAAATATTAAAATAATATTAAAAGTAGACTATTAATAATAATATATGACAAAATTACTTAACTTTAATATCAATATTTAAAATATATTATTAATATTTAATAATTATTTAATATCAGAAAACAAAACAAAAAAACATTGCTATCAATATCAGGCCTAATTTCAATTTTAAAACCGTTTATTTTATTCCATATTTCAAACCAAGTTGAAATATAATTTTCCAGTGTGAAAAACTTTCAAAATAAACCTGTCCTTACTTTCACATGGGAAGTAAAAAATGTAGAAGGCACAGTGGAATAATGGATAGCGGCTCGAATTGAGGAATCGGAGAACTGAAATGGCAACCTACTGCTGGATAAAAAATATGCCTCGTCAGTCATGTATAATAAATCCTGGTAGAAATTCTAGTTCGGTTTCGAATCGCTTCGATGTAAAAGTTGGTTGAATATGGTAAAAACGGGGCTCCCTTTTCCCACCCCGCTTTCTAATTTTGTGTCAATGATTGTGAAGAAGCCGGACAGTTTCTATAATGTCGTGGTTTGGCCAGATAATAGAAACACGGCGATACATCCTGTACGTAAACTGATGAGTTTTCGCAGACTGTGTGACGACGAGGCCTTGTCATTTAGACCTGGCCCCTGCCTCTTACCGACCCACCACCAACAGACACGCATCATTGATCGCATCACGCCTACAATGCTTTCAATCCAATGAAGCTACCAACGTTCTTGACTGGTTTTAGTTTAGATTTCATTGGGACGAGTTTAGGGTTAGCTCGAATTTAATTTGACTTCTGCAATCGCTGGTAGAGCTTTCGATTTAGGCCGTATATATTTCCTTAAAATAATTCGTAGACCGAGATATGGTGAAATAAAAGAGAGAAGATTCTGAATATTTAAGATGACGAAGAATTGATAAAGAGTTGTTACACGAAGTCAATTAAATTATACACAAACTTACACAGACTAATATCCTCATCTTGGTTGTTATAGTTATAAAGTTTTCGGTTATTTCTGAGATGAGGAATTACCATAACTAAACACTGATTTTACGTGTTACATTTTAATATTTTACAGTTGAAATGCCAGGATGCAACCGCAAATTCTATGCTAACAGTTTCTTAATCTGATAAGTATGTTCATGGTAATTGTTCTGATGAGTTATCCTCTTTGGTACCTAGACTTTATGAATTTAAGTGCAGTACTAGATTGGCAGCTAGGTCTCATCATTTTACAGTTGAAATGGCTTGATATAACCATATGTTCTATATTAACAGTTTCTTAATCTGATAATTATGTTCATGGTAATTGTTCTGATGAGTTATCCTCTTTGGTACTTAGACTTTATGAATTTAAGAGCAATACTAGATTGGCAGATAGGTCTCATCATTTTACAGTTGAAATGCCAGGATGCAACCGTAAGTTCTATGCTAACAGTTTCTTAATCTGATAAGTATGTTCATTGTAATTATTCTGATGAGCTATTCACTTTGGTACCTAGACTTTATGAACTTAAGAACAGTACTAGATTGGCAGATAGGTCTCATCATTTTACAGTTGAAATGGCTTGATATAACCATATGTTCTATATTAACAGTTTCTTAATCTGATAATTATGTTCATGGTAATTGTTCTGATGAGTTATCCTCTTTGGTACCCTAGACTTTTATGAATTTAAAACAATACTAGATTGGCAGATAGGTCTCATCATCTTACAGTTTAAATGGCTTGATATAACCATATGTTCTATATTAACAGTTTCTTAATCTGATAATTATGTTCATGGTAATTGTTCTGATGAGTTATCCTCTTTGGTACCTAGACTTTATGAATTTAAGTGCAGTACTAGATTGGCAGCTAGGTCTCATCATTTTACAGTTGAAATGGCTTGATATAACCATATGTTCTATATTAACAGTTTCTTAATCTGATAATTATGTTCATGGTAATTGTTCTGATGAGTTATCCTCTTTGGTACTTAGACTTTATGAATTTAAGAGCAATACTAGATTGGCAGATAGGTCTCATCATTTTACAGTTGAAATGGCTAGATGTAACCGTGAGTTCTATGGTAAAAGTTTCTTCTCTCACATTTTCCCCCAGTTAATTTTGATCTTCAAAAATTTCAATGTCAATCGTTATATTCTGTCTTCTTAATTCCTATTCTTGTTCTCTCAACTTAATAATGTTTTTCTTTTTCTCATATTTTTTCACACTCAGTAACTCCTTGCGTCTTAGTAGATTTATCGCCTTACTTGGGATTAAATAATTAAATGCAGTGTCAGTTGTTATCTTATGTTTTCTTAATTCCTGTTTTTTTTTTTTATTCTTCTTTCTCCTTAATGTTTTATTTTCTTACATTACTATACAGTAACCACGTGCGTTTTAGTGGCTTTATTGCCTTGCTTGCTGTGAAATGATTAAAATCTGATTGGCTGTGACTGGTATCGTCAGCTTGGTTGTTATCCTCACAATATTTCAGCTACTTTAACGCCTCAAAACTAAACTACTCTCTGTTAATCACCATAGAGATCCTTCCCCGCCCCCCATTAGAATGTCTGATAGTCAACTTCTTGAGAGCAACTCTCTGCGTCTGCTCGGTCTCACGTTGACTGCTGACCTGAGATGGAACAAATACATTGAGTCCATGGCTTCGTCCACCGCGGGGAAAGTTGGCTCTCTGTGCCGCTCCAGGAAATTTTTCTCTCCGGAATCGATACTTCAAATATACAAATCAACCATTCGCCATTGCATGGAGCATTGCTGCCATATATGGTCTGGTGCACCTTCTGTTTATCTCGGAGTTCTTGACAAGATCCAGAGGCGGATATGTAATATAATTGGCCCTGATCTGGCATCTCGTCTACAGTCACTCTCTCACAGACGCGCCGTCGCCTCTCTCTGTCTTTTCTACAAATACTTTCATGGTACTTGCTCCGATGAGCTGCTTTCACTGGTTCCCAGTCTCCATGAATTCAAGCGCCCTACGAGGCTGGCATCGCGCTCCCACCCTTACACTATAGAAATTTTTAAATGTAGCCGTCTCTTCTACTCCAATAGCTTCATACTTCGCACTTCTCGCCTGTGGAACACCCTTCCCAATAACTGTTTCTCTGAAAGCTATAATCTCCAACTATTCAAATGTAATGTCAATCGACATCTCCAGTTACCTTGATCTATCCACTACCCTTCTCCTCATCCTTTCTTCTATCACTCCTATCTGCTCTCGCTCCAAATCTTCTGCAACCCCCTGCATCCTAGTGGCTTCACGCCTTGCTCGGGGCGTAAAGCTTAAAAAAAAAACTTACATGATGTGACATTATCATTATGATACACTTATTGATTCTGACGAGCATCTTCATCTTGGTTGTTATAACCACAATGTTTCATCTATTTCTGAGATGAAGTATTATCATTATTATACACTGATTCATTCTGACTAGTATCCTCATCTTGGCTGTTATAATCACAACGTTTCGGCCATTTCTGAGATGAAGAATTATCATTTTTATACACTGATTCATTCTGACTAATATCCTCATCTTGGCTGTTATAATCACAACGTTTCGGCCATTTCTGAGATGGAGAATTATCATTTTTATACACTGATTCATTATGACGAGTGTCCTAATGAAAGATATGACCAAAACTACGGAGTCTTACATACTCAGTTTTGTAAAAGCACTAAGAAAGTGACCCGTGAATTTAAGAGGATTAAAATTAGAATAGACATATGTCTAGATTATTCAACCAAACATGCTTGAATATATATATATATATATATATATATATATATATATATATATATATATATAAAACAGGAGTTGTATTTGAAAACCTCAGTTCTTCATTTAGTCAATTTTCTAACAAGTGTCACTCGCATGTATAAATTAGGCACACGAATCTACTGTTGTTTTTATTCGGCAATAAAATACGGGCCTCATTCGTCTATATTCTCCATCGTTTAAGTAGATGTCGAGAGAAGCGACGCCAAGTGGCGGACACTAACGACGAATTCATTCGATGTCTTTCCAGTTGCGTCGCCTCCGGGCGACTTGGCTGGCAGGAGATGAGCATTAAGTTACAATTAAAGTCCTAAAGAAAACAGATAGGATGAAATAGCTCTTTCGATTTCTCTCTCATCTCTCCCTTTCTGCTCCCCCTCTATCTCCTCTCTCTTTCGTGCTCTCTCTCCTCCCCTTTCTCTCCTCCCTCTTTCGTTCTCTCTCTCTCTGGTCGCCCTCTCTCTTCTCTCTCTTTCGTTCTCTCTCTCCTCCCCCCGCTCTCCTCTCCCTTTCGTTCTCTCTCTCTCCTCGCTCTCTCTCTCGTCTCTCTTTCGTTCTCTCTCCTCCCTCTCTCCTCTCTCTTTCGTTCTCTCTCTCCTCCCCTCTCTCTTTCGTTCTCTCTCCTCCCTCTCTCACCTCTCTCTTTCGTTCTCTCTCCTACCCCCCTCTCTCTCTCTCTCTTTCGTTCTCTCTCTCTCCTCCCCCTCTCTCTCCTTTCTCTTTCGTTCTCTCTCTCCTCACCCTCTCTCTCCTCTCTCTTTCGTTCCCTATCTCTCCTCCCACGCTCTCTCCTCTCTCTTTCGTTCCCTATCTCTCCTCCCACGCTCTATCCTCTCCCTTTCGTTCTCTCTCTCCTCGCCCTCTCTCTCCTCTCTCTTTCGTCCTCTCTCTCTCCTCCCCCTCTCTCCTCTCCCTTTCGTTCTCTCTCTCTCCTCGCTCTCTCTCTCGTCTCTCTTTCGTTCTCTCTCCTCCTTCTCTCCTCTCTCTTTCGTACTCTCTCTCCTCCCCTCTCTCTTTCGTTCTCTCTCCTCCCCCTCTCTCTCCTTTCTCTTTCGTTCTCTCTCTCCTCACCCTCTCTCTCCTCTCTCTTTCGTTCTCTCTCCCCCTCTCTCCTCTCTCTTTCGTTCTCTCTCTCCCTACCCTCTCTCTATCCTCTCTCTTTTGTTCTCTTTCTCCCGCTCTCTCTCTCTCTCTCTCTCTCTCTCTCTCGTGTTGAAAATAAAGAGTGACGGAATGGTTGCCAGCGTAGAAAACAGAATTCGCGAGTTCAATTTTGGCCGCATTTTTATCGTATTTTTAAGATTCAGTGACAGTCCCAAAGAAAACAGATCGGAGGGAAATACTTCTTTCTATGTTTCTCTGTCTCTCCGTCTTTGTCTCTATCTATCTATCTATCTATCTATCTCCCGTGTTGGAGAGGACCGGAGTCGGAAAGGTTACCAGCATAGAAAAGAGAATCCGTGAGACAAGTTCAAATTTAGGCCGCTTCTTTTTCATAAATAACTGACAGAAAAATGTAACTGTTCACATCGACAAACCACTGAACAAAAACTACCATATCTTTTTTTTCTGTAATTACTAATTGTTAACTCAAGAACTAATACCCAATCAAGGTAGACAGTTACTGAATGAAGTTGTATTAAAAGTAAGAAGACGTGGTATCATGTGATGATTATGAAGGTATGAAGGCCATACATGCCTCTATCACCAAACTTGTTCCATTCCATCACCACGGATCACAACCCGAACTACTGCCAGTCACGATGAACGGATGTGCTCTCGAGGAGGCAACGTGCTTGAGAGAAACTGAGACCTGATCTCAAATTGAACACTTATATACGATTCATCGCCAAAGATGCAGGTAAAATGATCGGGTCTCTCTACCGCTCTAGTAAGTACCTGACCCCACATCCACTTCCTTTATAAGAGCCAGATCAGTCCGAAAATGGAATACTTTTGCCATATTTAGGCGGGAGCTTCCTAAACATCACTTTCTAGTCTTGATAGAGAAACAGTAAAATGATCGGCTCCCTGAACCGCTCCAGTAAGTACCTGACTCCTCATGCTATCCGCTACCTTCATAAGAGCCAGATCAGTCCGAAAATAGAATACTGTTGCCATATTTGGGCGGGAGCTTCCCAAACATCACTTTCTAGTCTTGATAGAGAAACAGTAAAATGATCGGCTCCATGAACCGCTCCTGTAAGTACCTGACTCCTCATGCTATCCGCTACCTTAATAAGAGCCAGATCAGTCCGAAAATAGAATACTGTTGCCATATTTGGGCGGGAGCTTCCCAAATATCACTTTCTAGTCTTGATAGAGAAACAGTAAAATGATCGGCTCCCTGAACCGCTCCTGTAAGTACCTGACTCCTCATGCTAACCGCTACCTTAATAAGAGCCAGATCAGTCCGAAAATAGAATACTGTTGCCATATTTGGGCGGGAGCTTCCCAAACATCACTTTCTAGTCTTGATAGAGAAGCAGTAAAATGATCGGCTCCCGGAACCGCTCCAGTAAGTACCTGACTCCTCATGCTATCCGCTACATTAAAAAGAGCCAGATCATTCCGAAAATAGAATACTGTTGCCATATTTGGGCGGGAGCTTCCCAAACATCACTTTCTAGTCTTGATAGAGAAGCAGTAAAATGATCGGCTCCCGGAACCGCTCCAGTAAGTACCTGACTCCTCATGCTATCCGCTACCTTAATAAGAGCCAGATCAGTCCGAAAATAGAATACTGTTGCCATATTTGGGCGGAGCTTCCCAAACATCACTTTCTAGTCTTCATAGAGAAGCAGTAAAATGATCGGCTCCCGGAACCGCTCCAGTAAGTACCTGACTCCTCATGCTATCCGCTACCTTAATAAGAGCCAGATCAGTCCGAAAATAGAATACTGTTGCCATATTTGGGCGGGAGCTTCCCAAACATCACTTTCTAGTCTTCATAGAGAAGCAGTAAAATGATCGGCTCCCGGAACCGCTCCAGTAAGTACCTGACTCCTCATGCTATCCGCTACCTTAATAAGAGCCAGATCAGTCCGAAAATAGAATACTGTTGCCATATTTGGGCGGGAGCTTCCCAAACATCACTTTCTAGTCTTGATAGAGAAGCAGTAAAATGATCGGCTCCCGGAACCGCTCCAGTAAGTACCTGACTCCTCATGCTATCCTCTACCTTAATAAGAGCCAGATCAGTCCGAAAATAGAATACTGTTGCCATATTTGGGCGGAGCTTCCCAAACATCACTTTCTAGTCTTGATAGAGAAGCAGTAAAATGATCGGCTCCCGGAACCGCTCCAGTAAGTACCTGACTCCTCATGCTATTCGCTACCTTAATAAGAGCCAGATCAGTCCGAAAATAGAATACTGTTGCCATATTTGGGCGGAGCTTCCCAAACATCACTTTCTAGTCTTGATAGAGAAGCAGTAAAATGATCGGCTCCCGGAAGCGCTCCAGTAAGTACCTGACTCCTCATGCTATCCGCTACCTTAATAAGAGCCAGATCAGTCCGAAAATAGAATACTGTTGCCATATTTAAGGGAGCTTCCCAAACATCACTTTCTAGTCTTGATAGAGAAGCAGTAAAATGATCGGCTCCCGGAACCACTCCTGTAAGTACCTGACTCCTCATGCTATCCGCTACCTTAATAAGAGCCAGATGAGTCCGAAAATAGAATACTGTTGCCATATTTAGGCGGGAGCTTCCCAAACATCACTTTCTAGTCTTGATAGAGAAGCAGTAAAATGATCGGCTCCCGGAACCGCTCCTGTAAGTACCTGACTCCTCATGCTATCCGCTACCTTAATAAGAGCCAGATCAGTCCGAAAATAGAATATTGTTGCCATATTTGGGCGGGAGCCTCCCAAACATCACTTTCTAGTCTTGATAGAGAAGCAGTAAAATGATCGGCTCCCGGAACCGCTCCAGTAAGTACCTGACTCCTCATGCTATCCGCTACCTTAATAAGAGCCAGATCAGTCCGAAAATAGAATACTGTTGCCATATTTGGGCGGGAGCTTCCCAAACATCACTTTCTAGTCTTGATAGAGAAGCAGTAAAATGATCGGCTCCCGGAACCGCTCCAGTAAGTACCTGACTCCTCATGCTATCCGCTACCTTAATAAGAGCCAGATCAGTCCGAAAATAGAATACTGTTGCCATATTTGGGCGGGAGCTTCCCAAACATCACTTTCTAGTCTTGATAGAGAAGCAGTAAAATGATCGGCTCCCGGAACCGCTCCAGTAAGTACCTGACTCCTCATGCTATCCGCTACCTTAATAAGAGCCAGATCAGTCCGAAAATAGAATACTGTTGCCATATTTGGGCGGGAGCTTCCCAAACATCACTTTCTAGTCTTGATAGAGAAGCAGTAAAATGATCGGCTCCCGGAACCGCTCCCCTAAGTACCTGACTCCTCATGCTATCCTCTACCTTTATAAGAGCCAGATCAATCCGAAAATAGAATACTGTTGCCATATTTGGGCGGGAGCTTCCCAAACATCACTTTCTAGTCTTCATAGAGAAGCAGTAAAATGATCGGCTCCCGGAACCGCTCCTGTAAGTACCTGACTCCTCATGCTATCCTCTACCTTAATAAGAGCCAGATCAGTCCGAAAATAGAATACTGTTGCCATATTTGGGCGGGAGCTTCCCAAACATCACTTTCTAGTCTTGATAGAGAAGCAGTAAACTGATCGGCTCCCGGAACCGCTTCAGTAAGTACCTGACTCCTCATCCTATCCGCTACCTTAATAAGAGCCAGATCAGTCCGAAAATAGAATACTGTTGCCATATTTGGGCGGGAGCTTCCCAAACATCACTTTCTAGTCTTGATAGAGAAGCAGTAAAATGATCGGCTCCCGGAACCGCTCCAGTAAGTACCTGACTCCTCATGCTATCCGCTACCTTAATAAGAGCCAGATCAGTCCGAAAATAGAATACTGTTGCCATATTTGGGCGGGAGCTTCCCAAACATCACTTTCTAGTCTTGATAGAGAAGCAGTAAAATGATCGGCTCCCGGAACCGCTCCAGTAAGTACCTGACTCCTCATGCTATTCGCTACCTTAATAAGAGCCAGATCAGTCCGAAAATAGAATACTGTTGCCATATTTGGGCGTAAAAATGGGAGCTTCCCAAACATCACTTTCTAGTCTTGATAGAGAAGCAGTAAAATTATCGGCTCCCGGAACCGCTCCTGTAAATACCTGACTCCTCATGCTATCCGCTACCTTAATAAGAGCCAGATCAGTCCGAAAATAGAATACTGTTGCCATATTTGGGCGGGAGCTTCCCAAACATCACTTTCTAGTCTTGATAGAGAAGCAGTAAAATGATCGGCTCCCGGAACCGCTCCTGTAAGTACCTGACTCCTCATGCTATCCGCTACCTTAATAAGAGCCAGATCAGTCCGAAAATAGAATACTGTTGCCATATTTGGGCGGAGCTTCCCAAACATCACTTTCTAGTCTTGATAGAGAAGCAGTAAAATGATCGGCTCCCGGAACCGCTCCATAAGTACCTGACTCCTCATGCTATCCGCTACCTTAATAAGAGCCAGATCAGTCCGAAAATAGAATACTGTTGCCATATTTGGGCGGGAGCTTCCCAAACATCACTTTCTAGTCTTGATAGAGAAGCAGTAAAATGATCGGCTCCCGGAACCGCTCCAGTAAGTACCTGACTCCTCATGCTATCCGCTACCTTAATAAGAGCCAGATCAGTCCGAAAATAGAATACTGTTGCCATATTTGGGCGGAGCTTCCCAAACATCACTTTCTAGTCTTCATAGAGAAGCAGTAAAATGATCGGCTCCCGGAACCGCTCCAGTAAGTACCTGACTCCTCATGCTATCCGCTACCTTAATAAGAGCCAGATCAGTCCGAAAATAGAATACTGTTGCCATATTTGGGCGGGAGCTTCCCAAAAATCACTTTCTAGTCTTGATAGAGAAGCAGTAAAATGATCGGCTCCCTGAACCGCTCCAGTAAGTACCTGACTCCTCATGCTATCCGCTACCTTAATAAGAGCCAGATCAGTCCGAAAATAGAATACTGTTGCCATATTTGGGCGGGAGCTTCCCAAACATCACTTTCTAGTCTTGATAGAGAAGCAGTAAACTGATCGGCTCCCGGAACCGCTCCAGTAAGTACCTGACTCCTCATGCTATCCGCTACCTTAATAAGAGCCAGATCAGTCCGAAAATAGAATACTGTTGCCATATTTGGGCGGGAGCTTCCCAAACATCACTTTCTAGTCTTGATAGAGAAGCAGTAAAATGATCGGCTCCCGGAACCGCTCCAGTAAGTACCTGACTCCTCATGCTATCCGCTACCTTAATAAGAGCCAGATCAGTCCGAAAATAGAATACTGTTGCCATATTTGGGCGGGAGCTTCCCAAACATCACTTTCTAGTCTTCATAGAGAAGCAGTAAAATGATCGGCTCCCGGAACCGC